GAGTTCTGAATTTTCGAACACCCCTGTGTTCTTCATCAGTGGATGCTAGAAATAAACAGAGGGACAGTGGAGACTATCCAACATTAGTTCTTGAGGTTTGGTAGAATCTCTACCGTCCCTCTGTTTATTTTTCGCATCCTATATACATAATACATACATACATACATACATACATATCATATATATATCTATATATATATATATATATATATATATATATATATATATATATAGATAGATAGATAGATAGATAGATAGATAGATAGATAGATATAGATATGTGTGAGTATGTGTGTGCACGCGCGCGTGTGTATATGTATGTATTTATGTAAAGACAGACAGACAGACAGATAGATAGATAGATAGATAGATAGATAGATAGATAGATAGATACGAAAGAAAGTGATTTGCATTGATGCTCATATGAAAAGTACCCCAGGCAGAATTCCGTTATGCATTCGATTTGTGCACACATGCGACTGGTGGAGACGGCGTTAAGCCAATCCATGCATGTTATCAACCATAAAATAAAACGCCTGATTAATCTTTTCCAATGAGTTTGGAAGAATATCTTGACCCCAAAGCGTTTTGTCAATTTTTCTTTCGTATGATGCACCAACTCCAAGTTTTGCTTCGCTCAAATCAGCTCATCGATTACCAGTCAAATCAATGATACTGACTATCCTTCATCTGCCTGTTCTCCTTGGCATCACTACATGATGCAATCCGAAAATTATGCAGGCCAAATTAGATGGAATCAAAAATACGACCAAATCAAAGGAAACTAGAGACGAATACTGAAGACATTTATACTTCATATGCGTTGTGTTCTTTTCTTGGAAGAATGATAAAAACAAAACAAAAGCTATTCTGCAATGTGCATTTACATAAGCAACGGAGATTAATATTAGATTCATAGCGTAAGTTTCCCATAAATAATCCTGCACCTTCCCCCGACCTTTACGCCAGAACCCCAATCAGCTTACACTGAAATGAGATATGTCTAGGCAGAATATACCCTATATTATTAAAAAGAAAAGGGCATAGGTTCATCTATGGCGCCTGGGGCGTCCTTATAGAGAGATGCCAAGGGAGATTATGCAATTTTTTTTCGGAAGTATAATGCGGGCGTCGGACTTTCATGCTAAATTCGACCTTGTACTATATTCTGCTTGAGTGGGTACAAAGGAAAAAATACCCATAAAATGCGACACCCAGATGCGAACACGCCTTAGACTGGCGGAAGAATCATTCCAAAAGCTAAACAAGGTGCCGAGAAATGGAAAAAAAATTCGTTTAAAAAAGACAAAAATGGTAGTTTGCCAAGTGATGTCTATCCTTTTAAATGGCGGTAAATAGTGGACAAACACCCCCCACGGATGAGGAGAAAACTGGAGGTAGGTGAAATGGGGTTTTATAGAAGGCTACTGAAAATTCCATGGACAGAGAGAGAATAAGCATAGAGGAAGTCTTAAAGAAAACTATAACTGAATGAAACGCTTAAATTCAGACTCAGAAAAAAAACAAGTATAGCCCGTGTTACAGTCTAAGTAACGAAATTATTATGAATGCTGATCTTCTGGCGCAGCATAGTCTTCTTGTCCTGCCCATTTACTTTTCTTGGATTTTTACTGTCTACGTTAAGTATTTTTTACAAATAAATGATATTACATATTTTCGTTTTATTTGTCTCAGATTTCTTCATAACCCCCAATCTGATAATGTACTTAAAGGTACGTATACTGAAAAAAAAGTAATAAATTTTAAGCAGACAATCTATTTCGATCGAATTCAATAAAACTTGTTTGAATGAATTCTTGCAGTCTAAGTAGACGTTACTTAAATGTACATAAATGCACTTAAGTCGACATAAATTCGCCTCGTTTGGGGCAATGATATTCAATAGATCTTTCCAAAAAATGGAATCGCTGCCCTTTATTTGAATTATTGTTCAAAGAAAAAATGGATTCTTTCTCTTTGAGGAAAGTTAGTAGAAATACATGTATTGCTAGATCTTTTGCGCGATATACACTGAAAATCTAGTCCAATGATTCTATTTTATTGGTTAATTTTGTTCAGTGGCTTATCAACCTCCATGTTATTTAATACTAATGTTTTGCATGTAATTTTATGCTTTTAACTACAGAGATTTTGTACATAATTTTTGTACTTTCTGTCTCAAGGTATGTTTTTTGAATATATAGTCTGTAGATCATAGAATGTATTGTAGGGAATTAAAAAAATATA